CTCAATCCTCACGGTCCGTGATAGCATTCTTACGGCCTTCAACCAACTTCGCAGTCGATCATCAGCCCCGAAAAACCTCATAAACGAAAGAAGAAAGCCATTCGAGATGTCCTCCAACTGGTCCACCGACGCTTGTTGTCGAAATTCTGAATCAATGTTGAATCGTGTTTCATATATGTCTGGAAGTTGTCTTGCAACAGCAACTTCTTCCCATTCGTGAAACTGATATTCAAGTCCTTTCGCGGAAGGCAACGTCGGAGATCTCTTCGCATATACAAATCGTCATCACGCACAATTTTACTGCTCATATCAGGAGCACACACGGGAATCGACCTAGGAACCGTTCCACTTTTGGTCATGACCAAGGTGATTCGAATACTGTAATCACATGACTGATTAGCCGCTACCGCAAGGGGTTCGTGTGAAAACGGCGCGGGTACACAACTGTACTGTACAACGGCTGGTGAACGCATATTTTTAAAACACATTGTCTAAACTGTTCCATCATTCGTAACGGCAACAAAATTCAGATAGCAAGACGGCGGTAATGAAGATCGATGGGTTGTTCGTTTGAGAGTATTTTTGGCAGTTTTCACTGCACTGGTGATCGAGCGAGAGTGTGGGTTATGAGTGGTTTCTTAGACATGTTTTATTTGCTTTTCGGCTCCGATCTTCAAAGCCTGACAATCTTCCTCTTAAGCAAGGATTGGTATCAGACGGGAGGCAGGGTGCATGCACTAATATACACGGCTAAGTATCGGGCCTCTTTTTCTTTCATTCTCCATTCACTCTCCAAATTTTTGGTAGCGTTCATTATTGAAGTCGGCCTTCACATGTTTTTAGGACCGATGTGCGGGGATGGTGAATATTTCTCTATTATGCACCCGCTATTTATGATGATTTTGTAAACACACACGGGCTTCCCTACCGCTGCAAATTGTGGCCGTAGGAGATTGCCCTCTTTGCTCGCAGCCCGGATGTTTACTGCCTGACAAACCAATATCAATGTTCGCGAAGTACTAACCAGAACCGCTCGTAGACAACACACATTCGTCGACTGAATGTGCTGCAGACAGTTGACCTTTTGGCCTCTTCGCTGGCCTTTCGGATGTTTGCACACCAATTTGGTTCTAACGAGATACTCCACTGAATCCTAGCTGAGCAGCTTGTAGGTAACACACAATCCAACTAAATGTGTCGCACAGAGGCTCTCTCTTGTTTCTGTTGGTACAACATTCCAGCATACTTTCTTCAAGAAAACTGCGTGTACGGTTGCTGAAAACCAAAGATGTTCAGCCACGATTCAGTTGGGTTTCCCGGTAAAACAAAGTGCGTGTGCAAATGGGTATCATTTCACAAATTTCATACAATTTGGGCTCAAGTATAACATACGGTTGACGGAAACTCGAATCTGTGTCTACCTGGTGTGCCACAAGAAGGACGAAATCGGTTGCGCGCTGCCGAAGAGTCTCCAGAGACCTTGTGGGTAGTTTCCTTCAAGCGAAGCTACCCCTGTTTTGTTTCTTGAGTTACTAATAGAAGACAGCCTTGGGGGTGGACATTTATGGCCTAATACATCAAACAACACAGGTGATATTGTACAGGTTCTAGTTACTAGTGATCAGCTAAACAAATGAAAACCAGCAGACTTTGAAGCCGCTTGTAGGATAAAAATTACCATGGAACGTTAGATCAGCGGAACCCCTCCGGAATTACAGCTGTGGACGAAGCGGAAGTCACCGCCGTAATACACAGCAACTGATGATGACCACTCAACGCCAACACGTACCCAAAGGTTGGTACACTCCTCTGGTTATTTCGAACAATCCTTTCAGGCACTCCAGTTAACCGCCGGCCGCGGTGTTCGATCGTAACACTGTCAGGCCGGACAACATGTACTTTTGAACTAGGGTCTTCCAAGCACTAGATTGCCTCGTATGGACTGCAGTCGTTCGTTACAAATAAGTCGCTGTAGGGTTTCTCTACAGTCCATCTAGACGTAATATGTAGAGTACGTGAGTTGTGTTAGTTTTGAGGGGCGGTTGAGTGGCATGATCAAATATCTCAGACATGTGCCAAATGGTTGCCTTTGATGGATATGTGATTTGTTGGGCTTTACTCAAGTGCACGCAACCTCGGAAGCGCCTAAAACTAGTTTGGCTAACTATTAATTCCCGCAACATTTTGATTTAGGCATCGAACTCGAAGCATTTTGTTGGCACTATTTTCGTTGCTCAACAACCATGCTTGGGAAAATAAATTGTTGTAAGTAACGAGCGCCTTCTGATATAGCCTAAGGACCGTACGTTTGAAATACATTTTGGGTGATGTGACAAATTCTGATCAGGCTTTCAGTGAAGAAGTTAAGTGAGATAAACAAGCAAAGGTTGCTTCGAATGTCATTTCAATGTGCAACACATCGTGATGTGCATACCAGTGGTTGTTTGGTCTAACCGAATATTTGTTATTGGAAACACATTGTGAGTAACCTTTCTTCGTTACCGTTTCATTGACCTGATTCCAACGGACACAAGTATGTTCTGCATCCTTGTTCGTTGCTCGTAAAATTCGTTATTTTCTTCGTTCGAATGTGACATTTTTTGGGTTCAGGCGTACAGCACATCCAATTTGCGATTTTGGCTGCTCGCAACGCGTGTATCCTCGGACGTTCTACGTATCCTGGGTGATTTTCCACTATTAGGAGAGTGTATGGTGGAAACCTTCGGTAACATTTCCCCGGTGGATTTCAGATTGTGACTTATCGTTTGGATCCTGTAGTCGAGCAAGGATCCCAAAGTTTACCATTCTTCCCCGTTCTCTTCGTCATCGACGCCACAGCTTGTGCTGAACACTGATACTTCGCTACTATTCAACCGGAAAGTGTATTACCCGCACAATCACATGGGACTCACTACTCCAATTCTTTAGAACGCATTCGCTCGGATTTTTTCAGAGAATCACTTACTGCACCAAACGTACATGTGTGTTTCATACCAAACATCTCTTCTAAGCTCTCCTCTCCGTTAACTTCGCTGTTATTCTGTATGGGATTGTTCGTTTGCGCCACCAAACGAGGAGACAACATCGGTGCCTATAATCGACTCATCAAACGTGTCAAGTTTATACAACAAAATTGCGTTGCTCATACTCAACACTGATCAGTTTACTGCGCTCCCACCGATAGCGCGTTCCCACTTGTCGGCCGAGACGCCGGAAGTTTTTCCAGACATTTGCAGGGTGGATTTAGTTTGGAACGCAACACAGTTTTCCAGGAAACTATTCGAAGAGGATTTTAATTAGGAAACAAAGACTAGACTTTGTCCGAACAGACTTCCAGCTTGATTGCAAACAACTAAAAAGAGCAAGGTCGATTCGTTGTAACTCCAAAATGATGGCAGATGGATGAACACAAAAAAGTTCAAATTGCAAAAATATGCTTCAGTTTTAAAAGGCGCCATCCTCACAGAAAATGCCTACCTTATAGACCAATCGTTCTAGTAATGAACCCTCCCTGATCTAACACGCAGCCCAGGGGAACACGAATGAGCAAAATCAACTGGTGCTACAATGTCCACTGAGGATTTTTTCAGTTGCAAATTTTCCAAGATGTCATTTGTTCGATTGACTAGGTATGCATTACGGTAACATCACAGGGGTAGCTGTGATTTGTCAACAAACACAGAAGGATCTGGCCATGTAAATCTGACCTGGTTTTATCGAGTCACTCCACCTCATTGTCAGTCAAGCATAAACCGGTTTATGCTGCGGATAACGCTCTTTTTCTAATGAGGATAAACTCTGCTGGACCACAATAAAATCCTATTTTTATTCACTCGAATGCCGTTACATAAGGATTGCGTTTGCTTTCAAACTTGTCTTCTTTCGTTCATTTCACCATTTTTGTTTGAACAGTCCTCCTCCTTTCCTGGAGGACTTATTCCGCTTACAACACAGCAGCATTGAGACTCGAGGTTTACCCACAAACGAGCTTATCAAGCCCATCCTTAGTGGTTCATCATCATCATCATCATCATCATCATCATCATCATCATCATCATCGCCAGCATGACATCAGTGTTCAACACCGATGCTTCGCTGCCGCATCTCGTACATCTGCTACACATGGTTTGAGTGTGACCGTTTACCGGTGCATGCTGCTGCGCAATTGAATTTTCACCTCCATACAGTTTAAATTATTCTGCTAATCCACAAGAACCGTAGCAACCAGATAAAGGACGTTAAGCTGCGAACAATAGATGAGGAGCATAATCCTCCTCGTAAGTTTGCTGAAAACTCTTTGATAGCCCACCACCGATTTCGTCATTCTAAGGGCCAACTAATCAGATAGACTCACTCCCCGAGTTTCTTCCTGAACCCAGATTGGACAGATTCCGACCAAAACAGTCATTTGCATATCATTCTGTTTGTAATGAGACTCATTTATGACACGAAACTCCCGCCTACCTTATGAGTCCTAAGAATGGTGAAACCGGTCGTGGGCGGTCGGAGAGCTTTCGGAAAAATTGTGAGTGGTGTCCCTCATGAAAATATGCTGCAACATCTCGAAAATCATACAAAGTAAAACGTAAGGTGGCATAGGTGATATTCCGCTGAGTCTCTCATGAAAACCAAACTGATATACAATGGGTGGATTTGTAGAAGTCTGTCCAATTTCGATTTAAGTAAAACATACGGGTAACTGGCATAAGCAGGGAGAAATTAAATGTTGAATGACGTCCCGCGTGAACGCGTAATACGGACGTTGTTTGCACCGGCTGAAGCAAGCCGTCCATCTGGATAGCTTTCGGGTAATTTCGTTACCTAGTATCCGGTGTGCGTGCAGGTCTAAAAAGATCGTGCTGAAAAAAGGATCGTTAGATCTCGTTGAATTCGTATTAAGACCTAGAAGAATTCGAACACACTGTCCCGGTGATGTCAAAAGGTGGCACTAAACCGGATTATGAAATGAGTAAGCAACATCCAACAATCTACCAACTTACTGTCAGCATCGCCGAATACGATAAGTGGACTCTTGCCTCCTAACTCAAGGGTGAAACGTTTCAGGCCGTGTTCGTACGCGTTTCGCACCACTAATCTTCCAACTTCGGTCGATCCCGTGAAAGCGATTTTATCTACATCCGGGTGAGCCACGAGAGCTGCACCTGCGGTCCCACCGAACCTGCAACCGATTTTAAGACGATTGTAACGAGGTGCAATTTTTTTAAAAATCGTCGAACGCACGAAATATAGTAAATGGTCCCAGTTGCAGGGATGGGTGTGGGTTGGTCAAATGTGATATTTATTCAAAGTGGACGACTGAGAGCTAACTCGAGAGTCGAGAGGTATTTCGAGGCAATATTAAGTTGCTAATGAACGTTTTGGTATGAAGTGCTACAGGGACCAAGGTTCAGAGTGATTGGTTCCCTGTTTCTCTGAGACCTTGTGCCTTTGAAAGGGTCGGAACCACTAGGGCAATCAGTAACGGGTCGGTTCCGCTACAACCACTGCTGTCAAATTTGATTGAATTTCCGAGTGGAAACGCTCCACATCACTTGTTCTATACCATTCATACCAGTAATTCATGGTCGAACATAGGTTAGCCGGGAGACCTTTCAGTCTCATCTGCTAATCACACGGACTGTCATGTGGGTTCCGTCCTGAGAGACGAATCCAACCAACAACACCAACCAGACCCCTCATAGCATCTGTTGTGTTTTGTCCACCTCAATGTCTTTACCATTCAAAACTGGGAAAACAAAAAACTCTTCTTATTAGGCGGCAATTCGTCATGCGTGGAGCATGACCGAGGCATATCAGCATGTAGCGCTGGATGCATTCCTAAAGTGAAGTACCCGCTGCCTCACCAAACACCCATTTCTCGAAAACGTCACTCCGAAGTCATGGAGTCCAACCGATTTCAGCTATGGTTCTGCGATATCAGTAGTCGACGATCTGAAGATTTTGTTGACCCTCCATCCTCAATGGCCAGTCGCGGAGAATTTACAACACTACATTCCACATTGTCCTCCAATGATAGGTCTAACCGATGCCAGCAATGGTGCAAATTCGTAAACGCAATTCTTACCAGACAATCGTGCACTGACTCCATTTGTCACAATATGAGGGAGAATGCAACTTTCGAGATATGTTCAATGCTACACAACTGTAAGTGTCTCTCTTGAGGCCAATGAGGCATCTCTAAATAATTTACTTCACGAAACAATAACTGGCACATTGTGGGAGCGACGTGCTGAAGAACTGGAAAACCTTGATTAAATCTCCTAGCAACGTTTGTGCTTTATCCCCCTCTTCAATAATACAGCCTGCATACTTTAATTCGACAAGGTCTTCGCTTGAGATCTCAACAGTGAGGTTTCAGAGAACCTCTTTAGCTCAACGATGAGACTGAACTAGCAGTGAGGGTGGGCACCCTGGTACCTACCCTGAAGGGACATTCTAGATAGCGCCTCCTCCTCCTAGTCTGCCATGCCCATAAGTAGTTGAATGCAAACAGCATACCTCGAAAAATATGCCCATAAGTAGTTGAATGCAAACAGCATACGCTGCTCGAAAAATTCCGGATCAGCAAACGTGTTGGGGAGAACGATTCGTTCGATAAGATCGAAACATCATGATGATCGAACATCATGATTTCAGGGCACCTATGTGCGTGTCGCTGCCACTTGACGGGGTGCGGTTCGGTACACACAACCATCTTCCGGCCGGAATCCTGTTCGCCGTCATCACGTGCTCCCATGAGATGACGTAAAACAAGTAACGTGAAACGTCTGTCTTGGTCACAAGCAGCTCTTGACGGTTCGGATGGCCAAATAGTTTAGTGTTCAAACTAGTAGACAGGTAGCGAGTTCGAGACCCCCACGTTTTCGTGACTGGACGGTCGACAGCAATAGCCCATTGTCTGGCGCTATACCAGTGTCCATTGTGATGTCAGCATCGCTCGATCGGTCATATTCCTTCCAGCTTACATCGAATTCTTAGGCTCACGCAAAGTCGCACATCTCGCTTCCCGCAAGCAGGCCTTCTGTGATCAAACCACTGATGATAAAAAATTGTACCAAGTGCCAGCCAGTCATCTACAACATAGTTCCACCAAAAAGCTTCCTTTCACTTCCAAGAGAGAGCGCATCCCTTCTCTTTGAACTAAGACCACCTCGGTAGGGTCCAATGAGATTTAATTCGAACAAACTTCTTCCCCGAAAAACCAAGATATAAAACGTATAAACACAGTTTCCTTACAATATCTGAACCATATACGGCGGCTGTTCAACCATAATAGGGCCGGGATTCTCCCCCAGATTGATGGGGACCTCAAAAGACAAATTCCGTCTGCATACTACGTCGTTCATGGTCGATCAGAGCACGCAGAAAGACCAAATAAAAGTGATCCTTTCTAAGTAAGCTAAACTGTTTACAGAGGCTTCAAGGAGTCACTTTTGACGAGCTATCCCTTTAGACAACCGGGCCGAACGGCCGATCTGGAGAGCGAAAACAAATATACGATTCAGACAACACTATCTGGTTTTGACCATTCGGATGTTCTGCTAATATCCTGAACGGTCCAAGGTATTCATAATGAGCCACTTCTTGGTGGTGTAGCTATCACTCTCTAAAGAGAACGCCTGACCACGGCCAGGTCTCAAAGACCAACCAAGAGTAGTCCCCTCTAGAAGGTAGTTCACAACAGCCGTCCCTCTCAGCCTCTCTGTCAGAGGAAAAGGAGTGTGGTCGTTCCATTCTAGCAATTTGCCAGAAATACGCATCGAGGAGTCCGTTGAATTTAGTCTCTCTTGGGGATGATTTGTCTGTTTTATCCACGATTAGATCCCTTTAGGAAAAAACCACCAAGAAAATTTCACCTCAAAGGAGTAAACTGTATGTCTGATGAGATGAATTCCTGGAAGGAAAATACCCCCTAAATGGTCAGTGTTCTGACAAATGATAACGATGGATAAGATTGTTGACCCAAATGATCCTGTTATGTAGTCTAGTCACGTCTAGTTATGTTCATTGATTGAGGGTTAGTTTTGTTACGAGTAAAAACAAACTTATGTCTACAGCCCACGGAAACCAGCATATATATTAAATGTGAGCCTGAAGTTGCTACACTATCATACAAGCCCCATCCATGATCACCAAGCACTTTATTCAATCTGGCAGGCTCAGCATATTCTGAAGCAGCATCGATACTATCGGTTTGAGCTGGCACCCAGTCCGCAAACGTGAAATCCGATCTGCAAGCAAAGAAAGCTGATTTACAATTTCTTTGCGCCAAATCACGAAGAAAGCCACTAAGTTTGGTCATCCCTGTAGGGAATCAGTACAAGAGCACCGTGTGTTTCGTTTCGGTGAATTAGATCCCTGCTGAAAGCTACAAATGTCTCATAACAGCTTAGTGACCGATTTACAAAGCTACCGACCCTAGAGGTGGTAATATATAGCCTCAAACGCCTCTGTGGTTATTTCAGAGTAACTAACGAGTAAATTACCAAACCAACGATTTTCGTATCTCACCCAGGGACAATGTTGACTACTCCATCGGGAAAACCAGCTTCCTTGGTCAACTGGGCCACCCAATTTGCCGACAGTGGGGTCTGTTCTGCAGTTTTCATCACGACCGTGTTACCCATTGCCAAAGCAGGTGCGAGTTTCCAAGCTTGCATCAACAGTGGGAAGTTCCACGGAATGATTTGACCACATACACCAATCGGTTCGTGTCGCGTAAAACACATGTAGTCACCATCCAAGGGGATCGTCTTTCCATGGTTTTTGTCGGCCCAACCAGCGAAATATCTACATGGCGAAAGTTAGAATTGAGCAAACTTTTGTGTATTTGTCATGCTAGCACTTTGCATGGACGTGGATATCTAACAAAAGGAAACATACCTTAGCTGTTTTCTGGAGCTGACCCTACAGGCTGCATGGTTTGGACCCGGCAAATCTCGTGCAAGCCACGAGCTGCACAGCCTAAACACCGCCAAAGTCCAATCACTTGAGATTTTCTCTGAGTTGTTTTTTCCTTCAGG